CTCCAATGTCTGAAATTTACATGATGCAGCTATTCTGGCACCAGAATGCATGAGAAATCCAAGGCTAATATCATAATGACGCAGCCACGTCGAATCAGTGCAATCGGGGTCGCAGACAGAATTGCAAATGAGATGAACACAGGACTTGTGACATTTTGTTGTCACTGTTGTGACTGGTGTTGGGGTTGAAAGGTGGAACAAATCTAAAGAAAGGCACAAGGATGATGTTCTTTTGTGACTCTCTCTCTCTCTCTCTGTGGTGATTTTGAGTACATATGTGCATCAAAGCAACCAAAACAAACCAATACAATTCAAATCATACTTCCTGCTCAGATGGACTAGTCAATGATCATCAACGATCTATTCTGCTCACGTTCCAGTCTACTGTATTATTCTTGCATTTTTCTTTGACTCGTTTTGTCTCGCCGAATCCTGGAAGTGATCCATACTCGAGACTCGAGAACTCGTTTTTTTCGGCGACTCCGAAGCATCGAATGTGTAAACCGAAGCAGAGACAAAGCGCAGACTCTCCAGGACTTGGAGACTTGGTGGGCTATTCGATCCGCTTGGAGTCGAAGCGATCCTTTCGTACCAAGATCTTGGTGTGCACCACAGGCCGAGCGGCCGAGCCACCGCGGCTTTGCGTGGGAGAAGCAAAGAAGCTTCCGACGATGTTTCGGTCTCTTGCAGAAAAGGTCAGAGCAACATCACATGTTCAGAAATATGTTACAGGTGCCGAACTTGTGCCAGCGCGGGTGTGATTTGGGTTGAGAGAGCTGTGGCATGGTTTGGACAGGTGTTTTGCTCCGGCGCTTGGAAAATGATCCTCAACTACACAATGTGACCCACATTATTGTGGACGAATGTGCCTTGGAGCGAACCATCCGGACGTTTATGAGCCCTAATGGAGCTGATCATCTCTAATTATGGTATTTACATGTATTTACGGTTTCTGCTCTCTAAGGGTGCCTTTCATTTGCATTTATTTTCTGCCGTCAGACTTTCCGCTGAGGTCACGAGCGAGATTTGGACACTGTCGCCCGGCCAGAGTTCAGTGCAGCCCTTCTCGAAGACATGTCTAGTCGTCTAACCTATATATGAACACATGGAAGATGTGCGAAGCATGGATGCAACCTATACATCAGACAACCAGACAAATTAATTAGAATATAGACTTGTATCAGAACGGGTCATAGCATCATCTACATACACCATTTGTAGCTACTGTATATACTATTGTGTGTACACACTTGCCATTGTTTGGTTCCTCCAAAGTGCCTGCTGTTGTCTAAAGTGCAGGATTTCCTGCTCATCATCTTGCGAGACTTATTGCCAAAGAGACCACGTTTGAGGACGAAGTCGTAAAATCTTGATCACGGCATGCCGTGTCTCCATGTAAGATAGGATTCTTGCTGCGACAGAACCTGAAAACATCCGGTGATTGCATCCAGGTAAGTGATTGCATTCCATTCAAGTCAGCCAAAAGAATTCAATTCCTTCATACTGCCAGTAGGTTGGCGGTCAGGGCTATTAGGTTGGAGGCCATCGCTAGTAGGTTGGAGGAATTGAGTTCCTTCATACTGCCAGTATTTGGGATTCTGCGTTCAGGATTATTCTGATGTCTGCCACGATCAATGCTCAGATCTTCAAGGCACTCGAAGCAGAATATGTATAATATGCAGTTTAAAAAAGCTTTGAAGTTTGAGGTATTTGTAGCACTCTTGGGGTTCAGCTTCATAACTTGTTAGACAAAACTTGCAAGAGTTTCACCAGCAACTAGCGACATGGCAGGGCAGATCTGTCTCACTAACCAGATTCGCAGCTTCCTGAGCTCACTGCCATGCTGGAGGATTATTTTCCTGGATCCCGATCCGTGGCCATTCCTGGTCGAACCTTTCCGGTGACGGCCTACTTCCTGGAGCATGCATTGAGCTTTGACTGGGAACACTTGTTGTTCGGACCTGCCATTGGTTCCTGAGAAATCTTCGAAAGATTGCAAGAAGGTTATGCCATGATCAAATGAACCATGTTCACGAATGTTCACGATGGACTTCAAGAATTGAAACCCAGTTTGCATGTCACATGATGTTCATCAAATGTCCAACTCTCTCATACTCGATCACCAACGCTTTAAGGATGCACACCAACCATGTGATTGAGCCCAACTCCGAGTACTGCCGGAAGGAAGAGATCGAAGATGATTGAAAGTGTTCCATCAGAATCAACCTCGCTCATTTGCAAGGGCTTTACTTGGCAGCCTGACCTCTGCTAAAACACACTCTGGTCCAAAGCACACGACACACCCGAAAAAGAATTCAGACTCCAGGACATCGAACCTGTCATGACATACCAAGAGGAACAAGAGCTCAGGCGGGAGTGAAGAAAAGCACAAATATATATACTGTAGCCTTGAAGTTGGCCCCTGAATTCCCTCCCTAAAGGCTCCCAAAGGATCCCAAGGGTACTTCCGCCAGGCAACTCTATGAGAAGCCTGAGCACGCAGAACTGCTTGGCACATCACCATCGAAGCACGTCCTCCAACAGTGACTTGGTTTATCTCAGACTGGAAGATCTTCACGTTGTCACGTTCAAACTACAGTTTGATTGATCCAATATAAATGCAAGCAAATCACAGTAAGTCGTGCTGTAACTTACAACGTTTTCCGAATGTTTTGCAGCAACTTTGCTGTGTTGGGTGATGTTCACCATTCCTACAGAACAGGGGGCCCTGATGGAACCCAAATGTTTGCCGGTTCCATTTGTAGTTTGTAGATGCTTTGTGTCTCTCCCAGAGGATCATTTGGCGCAGGATTCAAGCTTTGATTCTCGTATCTAGTTCATTTCAGTAAATTGAAAGCCTGGAAAGGATCTCACTGTGCTGTTCTATGGTTAGCAGATTTCACCTGCCTTTGTTAATCCATGTTATATATATATAATCCCTTCAATTATATGCATCCATTCTCAAGCAAACTTTCCGTGGATTATGTATCTATCCCGTCTATCCCCTTCCGTGGCGCAGAAGCCGCTTAATCCGAGGTTGCAACGTGTTGACCCAGAGAAGATCAACTTTGACTTGGTTGCCCAAGTGGTTCGCCATATCCACTGTCAGGCTCCGGGGGCTGAGTGGCTGAGCGGAGCGGAAAGGCTTCCGGGCGGCATTTCGGGGTGTAGACTCAGCCGGGTTGGTTTGGCTGTCCAAATGCTTCCAACTCCAGGTTGACCCGTGCAAAGATGGCAAGTCGTATCCTGGCATGGTTGGTCGTTTGGTGGGGAGGGACTTCCGTAATGTTTGTTCAGTCCATGATAATTCTATATATATAATTCATGTATTTGCCCTCAACACTTGGAAGGGTAGAACTATGGTGGGCTTGGAGTTGCAACACCACACTCTCCTAATTATGCAATTATGCGCTTCATCACCCATGGCGGGTGAATCGTGGAAGGCAAATGCTTTTCGGGTGTTGGATGTGCTGGCAAGGGGTGTTGCCACGATGCATCATGATGCCATGCGTCAGAATGATCGGGCCACCAAGGCCTGGTGCAATCCTGGTTTTCGTACCAGGCTTGAGAGAAACTTGGCTCGTTGAAAATGTATTTTCTGAGATTGTTCCCCAAACACCCCCAAACAGTTTACTGTTGGTGTTGTTTATGCCGGCATATTTCAAATTAATCAAAACTGGCCATGTTGGCGACTGTCCTTTTAGAGGGCCAAAAGAAGACCAGTCTCGTGAGCATCGATTCTGACAGAGTTCTGAGATGTTTGTGCGTAGCTAAGGAGATAAAGAAAGCCATCCGCTGTATCACAGAGGACAGTAGCTGCTTCGGTTCAACACTCATGATTTCCTCGGTTCAAGCAGGTACACGCTGCATATTTATGCAGATTGCAACGTCAGACGTTGGCACTTGGTCACTTGGTTCGAGCAGAGACAGAGTTTCCGAGGATCCCCTATTGTGCTCCACTGTTCCAAAGGCAAAGGGAGGGCATGCGTTTGGAGCTCGTCAAGCCGCCCTTGGTTGCAACCACGCACACCCGATCACGGATGGGTTGGCCAATCACAGAAGTGATATGCTTTTCGGCAACCAGGACGCAGGGGATGGCAAGGGTGGAAAAGGACGAAGCATTGAAGATAGAGGCTGGTACAGTGGGAGCATGTGGCGCTCGAAACTGCAGAGCATTTTGGAGAAACGAGAGGGATATGAAAGGGACATGAGAAAGGCCCTTGACTCGATTGATGCTACCTTTGGTAAGCAGGTGGCAAAGGTGCAAGCAAAGGCGGACCCGAAGTCACAAAGGCAACCCAGTGGCAGCAAAGATTCATGAATCGGTCGGTGTTTTGCCTCCTAAGAGAGTCTTTACATTCTCATAGAAAGACACGCACCCCAAAAAAGTCAATGACAAGGAAAACATGCAGTTAGGAACTTTGGATAAGGAACAAATGCCTCCAAGCAGTCTCAAAAAAGAACTCAAAAAACATTGCAACGTCTATTGAGTCTAACTAAAGCCATCAAGCCGTGAGGGATGGCTAGGCGCAGCCAATCTGCCAAGGACGGGCTGTGGGTGCTACCGCTCCATTCCATGATCAGCGTCAATGAGCAACGCCTTGTCTTCAAAAGGCCGCCGCAAAGGGCTCGCAAGGTGGGGAGATCCTCTGTTGAAGTGTCGGCACCGGGTCGTCACGGGCGTCACGGGCACGCAAGGATGTGCAGCATGAGAATGCATAGGGCATAGATGGGCATAGGGTCATCAAATGTCGTTGAATGTCATAAAAATGTGGCAGACAGATGTAGACAGAATGTGGCATGAAGAGAGTGAAGAAGATTTAACGCCCTGAAGCTGCGATCTGCCAGTGAAATCATTCGGTGGAGAGCGAGCAGGTGGTGGTCACCACAAATATCGCGGAGACCTCGATCACGATCGATGATGTAGAGTATGCTTCATGACTGCACGACAGCATACGACAGTATCGACGGCCTGCAGGATCGGCAGAACCTCAGTGATCCTCGATTCTCAGTGTTTGCTTTGCTGAACGGCTTTTCTCAGATGGCTTTTCTCAAGTGGACGAAGTTCCTCAAGAGTCCCCAGGAATTGAGTGTTTTCTGCGTTTAAGTTGCTTTAAAACATAGCAAAGGCACGCAAGTACACAATCATTAAGCCCTAGTTAGCTCCGTCAAACAGCTCCCATAGCTTAGGTCGTCGATTGTGGCCGGCACAAGTCAACTGGCTTGCACCTAGAGCAGTACACATCGTAGGGGCGGAACGACATCGTAGATGGCAGAAAATAGTTGACATGTGTCTTCCAATATGCAGTTTTCCAGCACCAAGCCAGGTGCTTCTTAAGGGCGCCCTGCGCCTAGGCAAACCAAGTACGATCCACAGAACCGCATCTCCATGCTGGTGGACTGTGCAGAGACAAAGGCCGTTTCCAAAGCGAAGTTTGCACTGTCACTTCTTTGTTTTTGCTGTCCATAATCACTCCCCAGGGCTATTCACAGTCTATTTCTTGACATGATTGGATCTCAACTGCGAGCCAATCAGCTTTAAAGAACGTGCGAGAGGCCAACGCCAAGCAACGCAGAGGTCGAGCAGGCCCAGAAATAAAAGACGTGGTCAGTGGTCACGGAATAGATCTCAAGGTAGATGACGGGTGCGAAATTGCAGAAATCACCTAATTTGTGCCGTCGGTTTTAGCAACTACAAAGCAAAGTCATGGAGCACACAAAGCCAAACCGATTGTGACACATGTTTCCATCGAATACCGAACCTAGCATCAAGACAGTTTCGTCATGTTTTGTCACCAGCAAGGTCGAGTAAAGCCCGGTGTTTGCTACCATTTGGTGAAACTTGTCGCGGAAAGAGCGGGGTCACCTTGTTGGGAATGATATAGCATTGATCTGAATCAGCAGTGCATCGGTCTTAACAGAGAGTCCATGAGCCGCAATAAGAATAGCGCAAGGGAAGAAACAAGAGACTGGACAGGAAGTGAACGATTATGTGTAAATAGTGACTTTGTCCAGTGACTCCACAACCTTCAAAGCCTCATGTTTGGGTGTTCCTGCGATTTGAATTTAGAGTATGTGTCCTGTTCCAAACAGTGTTCCTAGGTGTTCCTTTTGTCAAAAGACGTAGAATCCTATAGACTTGTTGTGACCTGTTCATTGTTTATGTGCTGCCGCGCAATCCTTGCTTCCAATGACGTGGGGAGTCACCATAATACAAACGACTACGGTTCGTTAGGTAGCCAGTGCAACCATGACGTGTTTTTTGGAACATGTTGTTGCAACTGCGGGGGTCAGCGAGAAAGGAATAGGGCATCGCTACTAGTAGCAAGAAGCTACTAGGTTGGAGGCCATTACAACTTAGATCCTTTCCGACTTGGACAGCGGCATGTTTGCGGTCTTTCTTTCTACAGAGGTGAAGCCATAGAATGACTTCAGAACACATCGTGCATCATACCGAGTTGTTTGTGAGCTTGTGGCACCACGCGTTCGCATCCAAACACAAGCTGAGTGAAGTTTATATGTGTTTTGTGTCAATTTACTTTGATGTTTGATTGAACTTCTCAAACCCTGGAATTTACGACTATTCTATCATCATGTCTTGGGCGCACATCGCAGACTTATGCAGCCTTTCATGGTTTGAGGAACGTACGACGCTGGCGGCGGATGGAGGACTTTGAAAAGCCAGAAATGCTCAGGTGTGCGTTTGTGTGAAGCAGGAGGTGCTTGTTTTTGGCAGGGTCAAGTTTTGAAAAAAATGCTTAGTTTGTTTGGTTTGTGTTTGTAAAAACCGTGTCGTAGTAGATATGTGGCAGCAGGCCACCACAGCTTAAGGATTTACAATGCCAGCACTTTTGCATGGTGCCAGGGTGCCACTGGACTCCTTGTGCTTGCGGGTGTCGCTGATGGGTTTAGGCCACCCTGCGAAGATCCTGGCCAAGGCGGGGAGGCGCTGAGGGTAGTAGCCTTCTTGCTCCTAGTAGTAAGGCCAGGAGCCCCTAGTAGCGTCCTTGCTCCTAGTAGCGATGCCAGGAGCCCCTAGTAGCTTCTTGCTACTAGTAGTAATGCACTTGTTACTAGTAGCTTCTTGCTACTGCTCAAGCCGAAAGAACACCTTGGACGTGGCCGGTGTAGTAGTTCATCAGGGAGGCGTTCTTTTGACGAACTCGGAGGAATTCCAGGTGGCGCCAAGCAAGTGCGCTGTGGCCCTTTTTCGGCTCGAAGCGCTGCAAGCCCCAAGCAACTGCCAGCTGAATTCATCATGAAACACCTTGACACTTGATACACAGATTGTTACAGACTAGTATCAACATATAATAGTAATAGGCATTTGGTTCGAAATCATTCGAACTGATGAAACACCCGGATTGCACTAGTGCTGGATTGCTTCGTGGCACCTGGCCCCGCGGAATCGTCGAATCACATGGCACCAAGCAAACGTCAGCAAGTTTGACTGAACGGTTTGACTGACCAAGAATTTGAATTAAATAGCTTCTTGTTACTACTAGTAAGGCACTTGTTACTAGTAGCGATGCACTTGTTACTAGTAGCTTCTTGTTCCTAGTTGACAGAATTCCTCTTGTCTCTATGACAGAATTGCGGGAGCGCGCTGAAGCACAGCACGAGCTCAAGGCAAAGACTGCTGTGGCGCCAAAGGGGTTTGATTTTCTCGGATCTGCAAGAAAGGAGACCATCTCGGCAGGACAAATAGAACAGGTTGAAAGCTTCGCTAAAGCGGCGAACAAGACCAAAGGAGAGTTTGATGTCAGCCAAGATACACCAAAAGCTGGCCGAAAGCATTCCGAAACTCCTTCTATACAAAGGGAACTTGTATAGTTCGATGTACTTTTGTGTTAGGAACATTCTATGGGATCCTATTGAATATTGGATGAAGTTAGCTGTTTAAACTTGTTGTTTGTAATGGTATTCTTGGCCACTTGAGGACGACGGAAAGAGAGAGGCAATCGCAAAGATTCAGGCCGCGCAACGCGGAGTTGAAGATCGCCGCCTATTTCTGAAAGAGCTTGCTTCGGAGCAAGGGCAGGAGGGTGATGCAAAGAATCAGACAGCGACTGGACACATGGGCTCGGAGAAGGTGCCTACCACTGCAGTCGACGAGCAAGAAGCAGCGAAGAAGATCCAATCTTTGCAAAGAGGCAGGCAGTGCAGGCAACAACTTGCAGCGGACAAAGAGAAAAAACAGAAGGAGGTTGCAGCAGTTAAGATTCAGAAGTTACACCGCGGCAACAGCTGTCGCCTTCAAGTTGCCACAGCGCGAAAACAAAAGGAGGCTGCAGCCGTCAAGATTCAGAAGTTACAGCGCGGCAACAGCTGTCGCCTTCAAGTTGCAACAGAGCGAAAACAAAAGGAGGTTGCAGCTGTCAAGATTCAGAAGGTACAGCGCGGCAACACCTGTCGCCAGCAGATTGCCGCGGAGCGTGCTTTGGAGAGACAGAAGCACGAAGCGGCCAAGAAGATTCAGTCATTGGAAAGGGGCCGGCAGTGCAGACAAGAAGGGAAACAGAGGAATCTTGCAGCAACTAAGATTCAGAAGATCCAACGGGGCAAGGCTGGCCGAAAAGAGTTCGAGCGCGAGAAAGCACGGCAGTTGGAACACGAAGCCGCAAAGGCAAGGAGAAACAAATCCTCTCCATCTTCTCCCCGAGGCACGGTCAGTGGGCACGGTGTTTTGGAGGACACTGTTCTTCCCTCCACCCCGGACAAAGGGGTCATTGCTGTTTGACTGCATCCCCTTTGGTCCCCTTTTGAGGCATTCCGACTTCACCAAAGGAACCAAAGAAGCGCGCTCCCAGTGCCAACAGCTCCAAGCGACTGCGGACTTACCAACTCTTACAGCAAATATACCCTGCCAACTCTGAACATGAGCTCCGAGAGCCACAAGGCAGTGTCTTGGCTGAAGGATGGACGTTCCAAAACAAGTTGAGAATGGTGCTTTTTGTTTTTCATTTGAGCTTATGCGTGCTTGTTTGGCTGGTTGTTGTACTGTAGCCGTCAGTGTTTAAAGGGTTACTTTCTATACATAACTGTACATAATAATTTCCACGGACAGATAGTTTGCAAAGTACCCTATATATGTCTCAAGCAACTCACGGGTTGCATAATCATTGCGTGGTCCATTGCATGGATAGCTTTCAGTGTTTCAAGAGTGAGCATTTTTTCAATTTCTGAGTTTCGTGCCTTTCGATACTTTTGCTGTCCTTCTTTAAGGAGCTCAAGACGGAGGCGACCCTGCTTCTCAAAAGTTCACAGGCTGCCAGCGGTTTGCAGCAAAGCTTGCAGAGCTGCGTGCGAGGCCCAAACCTGATCCGGTGGAACAACAAACGATGGCTGCCATGATGCTTCAGGCCTGGGTCATTCACCAAGGGCCAGGTCATGTGAAAACCCATGTGGTCTTAGGTCTTTGCGTTTTTGCTTTCCCTTAATCTTAAAGTCAATTTGGTCACACTCAGGTGTTATCATATTACATTCAGGTGTTACAGTAGCCCGTCCGACTTTTGTTCAAAAGCCCCGTTGCATGTGACTACCACCTGGAGGCGGGGATTGGAGGTTGGGGCTTGAGCATTGTGAAGTTGAAGACTTCATTGAATTTAATGAAATTGGATTTGGATGAGTTTGGATGATCCTCATGAGTTTAGTTAGGATTGTCGATGATCAACCAACCCCTCACCTATCACCAGGCAGATCATGCCGGTGGATTGGTGACTTTGAAAGTGGAGGAGGCCAGGGAGCGGGAGACACGATGAGGGAAGAAGGGACAAGTTGAGGTCGACAAGTTTTCACACCGAAGGCATTTTGCCCTCAGGTCAAGTTTGTTCACCACTCGTCACATTAACTCATCACATTGCCTAATTCGGAGTTGGACGCATTATTCCCCGACACCCAGGTCGACCTACACTCCACGTTCTGACAAACTTTCTATCAGAAAGACACGCATAGTAGCTAGACCTTCCAACTATGCAACATGTCTGCATGTCATGTTCAATCCTTTTCATTTTGACCTGACAATTCTTCGAACTTCGTGAGCCATGGACATGTACCTTGACCCACAGCTTCACAGGGAGGTGCACCAGAGTGGCGAGAAGACATGGATCTTTAAGTTCAAAGACCACCGTGCAAATCGGTGGCACGAATGGTGCTATGTGCGTGAGCGGAAAGGGTCTGACCGGCAGGAATCATAGGGGGCTATCTTCACGGCCGCTGGAGGGCCAATCACCTTTAGAAGGCTGACGAAGAGCCAGAAACCAGCGATTGGGTCAGTTGGCAAGTGGCGCATGGCAGATGATGGAAACAGCTTCGAGTTCCTCAATTGGGCCTGCTGCTTTGGTGCAAACTTGCTGCCGTGGTTGGTGTGGACTTTGGACTTGTCCTATGCCCCGCACATTGCAGCCTAGCCTGTTTTGTGTAAGTTGTTCATCAATTTTCTGGTCACATAATTTTACAGTATAGGCTATAGGTTTGAAGGCTTGAAGCTCAGCCCAAGGTCTTCCGCGAGCAGCATCGTTCAATGCTGCTGATGGGGTGCCTGGATGAGTTCTTCTTGCTTCCTCCGCCCTCGCTACCTCCTCCCCAAGTGCCACGGGTGATTCCTTTGGGTTGGGAGCCGCCACAGGTGGTACTTGCAATTCGTGAAGACCCAGCGGCAAATGCAGGATCCATGACCTCGCAGCCATCAGCCTCTGCAGGATCCATGA